GGAAAAAAATAACAGGGATTATGGGAGATATCAATAAAATTGAAGACAAAGGGCAGCAGAGATCATCAAAAATATCAGAATAGGGTTCTTTAAAATGGTTGGTAAAATCAACAAACTAGCCAAATAGGCAAAAAAAAAAAAAAAAAAAAAAGCCAGAAAATGACTTGAAGCATTGAGAAATTATGACTCATTACTCCCCAAAAATGTGTAATGATCAAATCAGAATTTGTATATTTATCAAATGTCATTACTTTCTCTTGAAAACATTCAACAAATCTGTAGCTACTCTATGACATATAGTAAATTATTGTTAATTCGGGCTAGCTAATAGTGTGGTGGTTAAGGCTGCTATATCCCATAGGACCAACCACACAATTTGAGTCCTAGACCTGGCAGCTTCAAAATCATGTGGGAGGGATCAGGACTTAGCGTAATGGCTATGTCGCTGGATTCCTATGTAGTCAACCACAGTTTGAGTCCCGGACCCGGTAGCTTAAAGTCACGCTGGGCGCGTGTGCGCGTTTGCCCAAGATCCCGAGAGAATGGAAGAGAAGGGATTGCAACGTGGCCATTCCCCCTGGGGGGTGATATCTTGCTTTCTGTCTCTCTGTCTCTCTCTGTCTTTCTGGCTAGTACACATGCCCTATAGCAAAAACCTCTCCAAAAAGAAGAAGAAGGAAAAAAAAAAAAACTCTAAAAAACAAAACAAAACAAAACACATGTGGGATGCATGTGCAAGTGTGCCCAAAATTCCAAAGAGGTAAAAGTAGAGAAGAGATGGCGGTGTGACCATCCCCCTTGAGAAGTGCTTTCTCATTTTCTCTCTCTCCCGTTCTCTCTGTCTCCAGTGAGTACACACACCCCTTTAGAAAATTTTAAATATATATATATATATATATATATAAATTTTATTATAGTTACCCTGCTGTACTTCCTAACACTAAAACTTATTCCTCTTATCTGTCTATAATTTTGTATTCATTAACCAAAACCTATACCCTGTAGCCTCCTACTTTCCCTAGCCTCTAAAAATGACTTTACTTTTGCCCTCTTGGAGGTTATTTTTGAGTTTCCACATTACAAGTCAGAATGTGTGGTATTTTTCTTTCTGTATTTGGCTTATTTTACTCAACATAATGCCCTCCTGGCTTACCCATGTTGCTTCAAATGACAGGATTGAATTATTTTTAATGACTAGTATTCCACTGTGTGTGTGTGTGTGTGTGTGTGTGTGTGCACACGCGCATGCACGCGCATGTGAACATTTTCAGGGTAAAATATTCCATTTTTCTGTTCATCCTCACCAGAATTTTTTGGTGTTTGGTCTCATTAATAGCCATTATGCCAGCAGATGGCGTAATGGTTACGTTGCTGGACTCGCACATAGTCGACCATGGTTTGAGTCCTGGACCCATCTGCTTAAAACTTATGCTGGGTGCCTGTAAGTGCATGCAGAAAATCACGAGAGAATGGAGGAGAAGGGATTACAGTGTGGCCATCCACCTTGGGGTGTGATTTCTCACTTTCTGCCTCTCTCTGGTGAGCACACGTGTCCTATAGCAAAATTTTCTCAAAATAATAATAATAATAATAATAGCCATTGTAATTGGGATGAGATATTTCATTATAGTTTTGATTTGCCATTGTAACTGGGATGAGATATTTCATTATAGTTTTGATTTGCATTTTTTTCATGATTACTGATGTTGAGTTTTATATATATTTATATATGTGTGTACATATATAAATCTCAACATATATATTATTTATATTTATTATTTATATGTTTTCTTTTGAGAACTGTGTATTTTGGTCACTTGCCTTTGCTGTCATAACCAAAAAATGATCACCAAGACCAATATCAAGAAAGTTTTCCCTGGGCTGGTTCCACAGCACAGTGGTTAAGAGACCTAGTCCCACAGGGCCAACTGCGGTTCACATCCCAGCTCTGATGCCTCAAAAAACATGCCAGTTGTGTGGATATGTGTGCCCAAAGTCCTGACAGGATGGAGAGATGCACCTTTAGGGAGTCTTCTCTCTCTCTGTCAGGCACATATGCCCTCTCACAATTTAAGAGGGAAAGAGAGAGAGAGAGAGAGAGAAAGAATCTCTCAGGCACATATGCCCTCTCAAAATTTAAAAGAGAGAGAGAGAGAGAGAGGAATAAATAAATTCCCCCCCACTTTTTTTAGTAGTTTAACAATTTCAATTCTTATATTTTTAAGTGTTTAATCTGTTCTGACTTGATTTTTGTCTGTGGTATGGAGATAAATTCACTCTTTCACATGTAGCTCTAAAGTTTTCCCAGTATCGTTTATTAAAGAGACTCTTCTTTCCTGATTTGTGTTCTTGTTTCTTTCCTGTCTCTGTTCTTGTTAGGATTGTTGAAGATCAGTTGAAAATAAGTTGTCCATAGATGCAATTTACTGGGCTTTCTATTCTGTTCCAGTGGTCTTTATGTCTGTTTTTAATGTCAGTACCATATTGTTGTGATGACTTTGTAACTTTGTAACTAACACATTTTGAAATTAGGGAATTGATACCTCTAACTTTGTTGTTCTTGCCCAAGTTTGCTTTGGCTATCTGAGGTTTATGTAGTTCCAAAAAAATTTATTTTTTATTTCTGTATTCTATAGAAGTTTGATGGGTATTTTATTGAATCTGTAGATCACTTTGGATAGCATGAGCATTTTAACAACACTAATTTTCTTAACCTATGACCATGGGATGGATGTCTTTCCATTTAGCTGTGTTAAAAGAACCAACTTTTACTTTTCTGTTTTATTCTTTCTCTTTTTTCACTTATTTAACTTCTGCTATCATCTTTACTATTTTCTTCTTTATTTTTGCTTTAAGTTTTGTTTGCCTTTTTTCCCTGTATCTTAATATGGATGATACATTATTTATTTGAGCATTTCTTTTTTCTTTTTAAGCATAGCTGCCTTTAGCTGTAGTATTTTCGGTTTCCTCTTCAATTTGTTATTCAGTCAGATATTAGTATAGCCACTGAGACTTTCTTATGGTTTCCATTTGCATAGCGTATCTTTTTCTATCCTTTTACTTTCAATCTATTTGTACTTTTTTTAATGGGACGTTTTGCATTTTTCATTCTTTGAAGTACAAAGCACACAGTGTGTTAGTTCTGATCTCGAAAACGATCCATTCTACTTGCTGACTTTTGTTGCTTGTTCACTTATGGTAGCTTCAGATTTACCTAACTATGCTATTTGGAAAACAATAATTTACTGCCTTTTTCATTGAAGCTGGAATTGCCTAATTACCATGATTTATGTTTTTCTGTTTCTAGATCCCACAGTGAAGTAGAATCCACTAATTTTAGTCTCCTCTTAGTATTTATTTTGTTTCTTTCTCTCTGTAATTGTTAGATTTTACTGTTAGTTTTGAGCCTCCTGACTGGTCTTCCTGACTCCAGTCTTACCTTGTTCACATTTATCTTCCTTTTTTCTACCTTATATATTTTATATTTGCATTTCATCATTGTATATCTTTACAACATACAAAATAGTTTTTTTCAACACCAATGTAGTGAACATTAATCCAGTCAAAAATAATACCATATACATTATCATCACCATATAACTTAATGTAGTGAACATTAATCCAGTCAAAAATACCATATACATTATCATCACCATATAACTTTTTATTTTTGCATTTATTAAATGTTATTTTCCCTGATTCCCTCTCCGCAATGCCTATTACCCACCCCTTCCTATAATGGATCTAGTATCTAGTATCTTTCATACTTTCTAATCTCTCAGTTTCTGCCATAGACTGCATACATTCGGTATTTTAAGTGGGGACATAAAATGACTATTTTTCATAGCCTGGCTTGCTTCCCTTAGCATCAAATTCTCCACATTTGTCCACTTTGTATCAAATGTCAGTGTCTCATTTTTTTATTTTATTTTTTTATGGCTGAGTGTTTTGTTTTGTTTTGTTTTGTTTTTATCTAAAGCCTGTCTTCTGTGGAAAGCATGTTCATTTTTATTCAGACAGATCATATCTTCTTTTTGATTGGATTCTTTGTTAAACTTACATTTAATGTTATTGTTGTCATTGTTTGGATTAATGTTTCCGATTTAAATTTTTGTTTTCTATATGTCTCATGACTTTTTGTTTCTCTTTACTGCTTTTTTTTTACATTAAAAGTGAACACTTTTTAGCATAACATTTTAATTTTATTAATGAATTTTTAACTCTCGATTTTTTTTATATCCTAGTTTGTCAGAATCTACTTTAGATTTATACAAACTGAATGCCTTAGTCCATCTATGTTGTCACAACAGAAATACTTGAGGCTGGGTGTTTTATAAAGAAAAGAGATTTATTTATTTGGCTTATGATTCTGGTGTCTAGCATGGAGCCAGCATCTGAGCTTCTTCTGGTACTATGTCACAACATGATTGAAGAAACAGAAAGGAAAGTGGGAGAGTATAAAGAGAGAGAGACCTAAAGGCAACCTGATCTCTTAGGAACTAATTAGAGATAACTCAGGGAGTTCATGAAGAATCCAGCCCTCCTCCCCAACACACACATGTCCCAAAAACTTCTCGATAGGCCCCACTTTGCAACATTTCTACATTAGATGTCAAGTGGTTAAGCCTAGTATGGATTTCTGTGGTAGTATATTTCATTATGGAGATAAGTACTATGTGTGTGTATGTCTTCGATTTAAACTTTAATCTTAAATAAACTTTGCATGAGACTAGATTTATATGTGGATAATGTAAAAAAATAGTAGGATAACTTTACAAATAACTTTATTAATTATATATCAGTCAATTGTTAGGACCATAAAAATTGTGTACAAATTCAACAGAAATACTAGGATGTGTAAATGGTTTATCCTTTTATGAAAAACACATAGTTATATCCTTACTCCTTGTTCTTTATATTATTTAGACAATGTAAAAAATTCTCATGGGTGAATAGAATTTAAATTAGATTTAATAAAATCTTTTTTTTCTCCCCCTTAGGAAAAAGTCAAAGGGAGGGAAGAAAATCTGAATCCTGTAAACCAATTCTTAAAGTAGAATACAAGACCTGCAGAAACAGGTATTCATTTTTACTTTGGGGAATGAGGGGATATGTGTAAGAAACAGAAAAGTGGCCAGTTGGTGGCTGGTAGTTAAGGTGACTAGATCCCATGTAGCCAACTGTGAGGTTCAAGTCCTGGACCCAATGGCTTGAGACACATGCTGGACACATATGCATGTGTACCCAAAATCCTGAGGAAGGAGATGGTGGACCATTCTTCATGGAGAGTACTGTTCATTTCCCTCTCTTCTCTCTCTCTCTCTCTCTCTCTCTCTTTCTATAAAGCACACATGCCTTCTGACAAATTAAGAAAGCGAGAAAAGAGAGACAGGAAAGGAAAGGAAAGGAAAGGAAAGGAAAGGAAAGGAAAGGAAAGAGAAGAAAGGCACATACTCTTAATGTTAATGTATTGCTTTGAGTTTTTTCATAATTATGAATATATTAGCTACATTAGCTGACATTAATAATAACTTTTTGTTTAGTAGGCCTTTTTCATAATTATGACTATATTAGCTAAATGAATTCTTGACATTAATAATAACTTTTTGTTTAGTAGGCCTATATATGATGATCATTGCTATGAACATTGAAAATAACAAATATTACTTATTTTAAAATCTTTTATGTATATAAATGAGTATTATGTATGTTAATTTTAACAATAGAGAAGTTTTTAGCATGCACAGTGACAGTATTTATTAAACAGAAACTAGCTATGTGACTTCAGTATTGCATATGAAAAAATTAAATATATAACCAAGTCACTCAACTTTAGTATCATACATTCTGAAGTTGAAAAGGTTACTGTTAGGTGGAAAGATAAAGTTGCATATAGTGGCATAATAAAAAAGTACTAAATAGGTGTTGCCTCAGTGGTACATGCAGAAGCATACTGATCTGCAGTGCTAAAAGTCAGTGGTTAACCATGGGTTCAGATCAAGTGGCTTCACACCCAAGTTTCTGACTAGCTGGAGGGCTAGAAGAAAGGGATTGCAGGCCGAAAAGACCACAGTTAGGGTGCCTCTCTCTCTCCCTTTCTCTGTCTCTGTCTCCCTCTCTTTTGTGTGTATGTATGCAGATCATGTTCTCTGATCAAAGGAATGAAATGAACTTTAAGAAGAACTAAATTTTGGGCCAGCTGGTGGTCCAGTGATAATGCAACATTCTGCAATGCTGGATCCACATGCATGTGTGCCCAAGGTCCTCATGTACACGCCGGGCTTGTACACACATGGCCATGACCTGGGCTGATTGAGACTGGAAGTAGGTCACAATGTAAAGACCCGAAAGGGTCTCATTCTCTCTTGTGAAAGAAAGAAATAAGCTTTTATCACAATGTAAAGACCCTAAAGGGGCCTATCTTTCTCTTTCTCTCTTGTGAAAGAAAGAAATAAGCTTTTTAAAGAAGTACTAAAGAGACCAGCAGGTGGCATGATGGTTTAGGTGCTGGACTCCCATATGGCTGATTGTGGTTGGAGTCCCTTACTGGTAGCTTAAAAAAATCACTCCAAGCACCTGTGTGTGCATGCCCAGAAAACTGAGAAAAGAGTAGAGGAGAAAGAATTATAGCATGGCTATCTCCCCAAGGAGTGATTTTTCATTTTCCCTCTCTCTGTCTCTCCCTTGTGAGCACATGCACCCTATGGTAAAAACCTTAATTTTTTTTTTTAAATGAGAAGTCCTAAATTGGAAGCTATAGAACATGGAAGAAGTTAATACTTAACAAAATTTCATCCTGAATCTATTGCAGTTATTATCCTACACTTACAGTGTTCTTTTTTACTTGCAGTAACTATTAGTGGAAATACTCTTATTCAGAATTACCATAATAAACCTTTCCTAAATATTAACTTTATATTAATTCTAAATTGGATTATCTTACTTCATAGTAATTATCTTAGACTATTTTATTTGCATTATTGGTATATTTTATGCTTATGAATACCTACTCTACTAAAGTTTTAGTAGTATGAAATTATGGCCATTTTTAACCAGTTACTTTAAATATATATTAATATCTCTTTAGCTTAGCCTAATGATACTGTGCATTAGCTGGCAAAAATAAAGTTATTTCATAATTTTTAGATGTTTATGGTATTTTATAGTTATCACAAACCTCTTTTATCTAATTGTGTTTTGCAAACTAATAGATTAAAAAATGTTTTTAAGTTAGTTGGACAAGATAAATAGAGATGGCTGGCTATAGCCAAAATCAAGAAGGAGGTCATATTTAACTTTGGCGGACTATTTTTCTCTTATATATTAGCTTTCTTCATCTTTTTATCATAATTCTTTTCCACAGAAACTCTGTTATCTAGAATTTTCGTTACCTTTTACTATTCCGGGCTTTCTACTGTTTTATTGCATTCCAGATTGAAATTTATCTCTTTTATCTCTTAGGCATTTCAAGCCCCACATACCAACTAACTAATGTAATATCCTTTCTTCTACTTCTCCTTCTTTTTTTTTTTTTTAGAGAGATTTTTGCTAGAGAGACAGAAAGCAAGAAATCACCCCCTAGGGAGATGGCCATGTCACAGTCCCTTCTCTTCCATTCTCCTCTTGGGATCTCAGACATGCATGCACACATGCCCAGCATGTGTTCTAAGTCACCAGGTCTGGGATTCCAACCCCAGTTAATTACATGGGAGTCCAGCGATGTAACCATTATGGCATCTGCTGGTCCCTAATGTAATATTCTAATCTAGACTTATATTCTAATGGTGGTGATTTGGAGTTTGGGAATCAACTGATGCATGTGATGATGTACTTTTGAGAGTCCGTGAGTACCATCCATCCAACCTCTCTGCCTTTCCCCATTTTCACTTCAGCACCTTTAAACTGATTCATTAGTAATTTTAATGGTGAGAATGTATATTCAGAAAAAGGCAAATGCTACAATAGAGGGTTGTTTAGTGAGAAATTTGGGGCCAAACAAATTTTTTGCTTTTGAATTACATGATATAATCTCTCATCCAAACGTATTCTTTTTAGGGTCTGTTGTATGACTTTGTGTCATTTTTTAAAACTTCTGAGTATCATTACCTTTTTTTCCTATGTAGTGAACCATTCATAATATTCTCTGGTGGGCTGTCCTATGACAAAGCTTGCAGAAGACCAAGTTTAACCATTATGCATGGAAAAGCAATTACAGTACTTGAAATGGATCATCCTATTGTTGAATTTCTAACTTTATGTGAAACGCCCTATCCAAATGGTAAGTAGCTAAAATGATACTATTAACGTTAAAAAAATATTTTTGAAATGACAACTTTTTAACAAAATTAAGGTTATATATTTTCAGTTTTGGCAGCGGACATCCACTGTGGCACAACACTCTGAGCTACAGGTGTTGGAGCAGGTTCTGCAATTGTGCCTATCTGACAAACAGGAAGTAAGACAGATGTAGTGCAGCAGTGCTGGCGTTTCAGGTTCTTATATCAGGTAAGTGCTTTAAACTTTGATAAGGATGGTGGAAGCTGAGCTGGGAGGGTACAACAAGGGTCCAGGGTGAAATCAGTTGGGGAAACTGAGGTCTCGTAATAGCCTCTCCTAGACCAGCTCCACCCATCCCATCCCAAAGTCAATCAAAGTTAAAGCACTTACCTGATATCAGTGATCTGTAACTCTTGTGGTGCTGTATCTATTTCATATCTGGATTTGCTTTGGTTGCAATTGCAGCACCTCTGATTATTCTAGGATTGCTGATGTATGGTTAGTGATTAATTTTAATTTTGAGAATAATTAGTAGGGCCTTCAGTAAGAGAGATGCTTAACTATTTTTGTCATTGTGAATATAAGGATTTTTTGTAAACATGAAAACTAATCTAAGTTTATATGAAAACTGTACAACAAAATCCAATAATGATGAACTATTTTAATAATAAAATCTAAAAGGGAGAAGGGAGAAAATATAAAATAAAAGTTATGAGTATTTGATTGAGGAGAAATAGCATGTATTTACATACTACATTTTCAGGAGAGAGCATGTAGAGAGAAAGGGATGGAGGAATGGACTTGGGGATGAAATTCTTGGGCTTATTATTTAACTCTGCTACTTACTAGCAATGTGACCTTGGGCAAGTCATTTTACATCTATAAATTTTCTTTATCATTTGTAGAATGAGAATAACATCCCTACTTGATTATGGAAGGCCAAGTGAACATACTTTTTAAACTATGAAGATATATATTTATAAGCTTTATTTAAGTATATGTTAATTTTAAAAATAAATGCGCTCATTTCTTTTAAATCATTTAGCTTTATATTTAAAAGGTAGGCTAAATTGATTTGAAATACCAATTTGGCACTTCACTTTGAGAGTTACTAGGGACAGAAAAAAAATCTTTTCTTTTCTTTTTTTGGAGAGGTTTTTGCTTGAGAGCACATGCACTTGCCAGAAAGAAAGACAGAGAGAGACAGTGAGATAGAAAGCGAGAAATCACCCCGCAGGGGTGATGGCCACACTGCAATCCCTTCTCCTCCATTTGCCTCTTGGGATCTTGGGCACACATGCACATGTGCCTGGCATGGGTTTAAACCACCGGGTCTGGGACTCAAACCGCAGTCAACCACATGGGAGTCCAGTGACATAGCCATTATGCCAACTGCTGATCCCGAAATACCTGTGTTTTTAATTAATCAACAAATATTTACTGAATGCTTCTGTGGCATCAGTGCTACCAGGACTTGTTTAGCATATGAAGTATGAAACTGATATCTGATGTCAATGTGCATAAAATCTGGTCACATGAGTGAGATAATTATGACTTACTGGTTTAAATAATGTAAGAATTTAATTAAATGATGAGTTGTGGTTCAAAGTATAAACAGCATACCAATTTATAGACCAGTCATTACTTTATGACTTAACTATTAATTCAATGCTTTATAGGAAAAGTAGGATTTAGGCAGACTTTAAAAGGATATCTTGAACAAAGATTTAGAAATAATAATGTTGGCTAGCATGAGGTCAGTTTGGAGAAAAACTTGAAAGCCTTTTGTAAGTGTTTGAAAATAGAGAGCTACAAAGTGATTTTGAGGAAATACTAATGAAAGAAAGCAGTAATTTTAATAAGATTTATCCAGTAGGAGTACTGGGTTTGAAGGGAGAGACAATAAAATCCAAAATTCCAAGTTCCAGCTGAGAGGTTTTTGTAAAAATGTTCATTTAAAATGGCCAAAGCCTAATATAGAGTTCTACCTGATGGAATTAAATGACAAAAACATGAATTTGGTGAACAGGATTAGGGAGTGACATGACAATAAATAAAAGATAACTACAAACTACATATTATTTAAGAATAGTGTTTTCATGCACAATGATAGCAGTTTTGGGAAAGAAAGGTAAGTTTGATTATGAGTCAGTAGAGTTGCATAGAAAACAAAAAAATTACAGCTTTTATTTATGAATCATTATAATATAAATATTCTTTGGAGTTATGAGAATGAATGATGAAAGATACTAAGAAGGAAGAGTGGAAGCTGAGATTAGGAAGATGCCCCCTATTAGGAGCCTTTAGGAAAAAGATGTGCCAGGAATAGAAACTGAGAATATGTGACTGTAAAGATCAAACACTGTGTGTCTGTGTGTATGTCAGGAGGGGTATTAGGGCAATTTCTGATAATGTTCAATAAAATGTGAATGCACTGTAACTATGCCTGCTTACTTCTAAGCCATATATATATA